ATAGTGATAGTAATAGTTACAGTAACAGTAATAGTGATATTAATAGTTACTGTAACAGTAATAGTGATAGTAATAATTACAGTAACAGTAATAGTGATAGTAATAGTTACAGTAACAGTAATAGTGATATTAATAGTTACAGTAACAGTAATAGTGATAGTAATAGTTACAGTAATAGTGATAGTAATAGTTACAGTAATAGTGATAGTAATAGTTACAGTAACAGTAATAGTGATATTAATAGTTACAGTAACAGTAATAGTAATAGTGATAGTAATAGTTACAGTAACAGTAATAGTGATAGTAATAGTTACAGTAACAGTAATAGTGATATTAATAGTTACAGTAACAGTAATAGTGATAGTAATAGTTACAGTAACAGTAATAGTGATATTAATAGTTACAGTAATAGTAATAGTGATAGTAATAGTTACAGTAACAGTAACATCCATACTTATTACTGCACCTATTACATACATAGAACACTCAACTCTGATATTAACCCTCCCCTCAAACATCTCCTTGCCAACCTCAACAGAACACATGACCATAACACAAGGCACAGATCACTCTTTGATGTTCCTCGTGTCCATCTCACGCTATGCAAAAACTCAATGCACATAAAAGGCCCTAAAATCTGGAATTCATTACCTGTTAATATAAAAGAAACACTACCTGTTTATAAATTCAAGTCTCTTCTCAAAGATCACTTACTCACCCAAAACCAAATAAATACTGAATAACTGAACCTTATAAATTGTATATCTTAAATGTTTCTCACAATTATATCACATAAATGTTAAACCTAAAACCCAATCTAACTTTATTATTTTTTAAATTCACTACCTAACAGAATACTCCATTCTACTGAATTTACAACAATGCATGCAACCATATGACCTGTCTTTGTAATACTCACTTGTGCTTTATAGTAATCAGTTTACATTAATGTTTTTCACTGATTTCATCATTGCTTAGTTAATCTTAAGTTAATTTTAAGCCAGCCCGTAATGCTATGCATAGTATAAGTGGCTTTGGCATGCTGCTCTTATCTGTATTTTTTTTTTTTTTGTACCTCTGTAAGTGTGCTCAAATTATAAATAAATAAATAAATAAATAAATAAATAAATAGTGATATTAATAGTTACTGTAACAGTAATAGTGATAGTAATAATTACAGTAACAGTAATAGTGATAGTAATAGTTACAGTAACAGTAATAGTGATATTAATAGTTACAGTAACAGTAATGGTGATAGTAATAGTTACAGTAATAGTGATAGTAATAGTTACAGTAACAGTAATAGTGATATTAATAGTTACAGTAACAGTAATAGTAATAGTGATAGTAATAGTTACAGTAACAGTAATAGTGATAGTAATAGTTACAGTAACAGTAATAGTGATATTAATAGTTACAGTAACAGTAATAGTGATAGTAATAGTTACAGTAACAGTAATAGTGATATTAATAGTTACAGTAATAGTAATAGTGATAGTAATAGTTACAGTAACAGTAATAGTGATAGTAATAGTTACAGTAATAGTGATAGTAATAGTTACAGTAACAGTAATAGTGATATTAATAGTTACAGTAACAATAATAGTGATAGTAATAGTTACAGTAACAGTAATAGTGATAGTAATAGTTACAGTAATAGTGATAGTAATAGTTACAGTAACAGTAATAGTGATAGTAATAGTTACAGTAACAGTAATAGTAATAGTGATAGTAATAGTTACAGTAACAGTAATGTGATAGTAATAGTTACAGTAATAGTAATAGTGATAGTAATAGTTACAGTAACAGTAATAGTAATAGTGATAGTAATAGTTACAGTAACAGTAATAGTGATAGTTACAGCAACAATAATAATGAAAGTGATAGTTACAGTAGCAGTAATAGTGATAGTTACAGTAACAGTAATAATGAAAGTAATAGTTACAGTAACAGTAATAATGAAAGTGATAGTTAAAGTAACAGTAATAGTGATAGTTACAGTAACAGTAATAATGATAGTAATAGTTACAGTAACAGTAATAATGATAGTGATAGTTACAGTAACAGTAATAGTGGTAGTTACAGTAACAGTAATAATGATAGTAATAGTTACAGTAACAGTAATAATGAAAGTGATAGTTACAGTAACAGTAATAGTGATAGTTACAGTAACAGTAATAATGACAGTAATAGTTACAGTAACAGTAATAATGAAAGTGAGTTACAGTAAAAGTAATAGTGATAGTTCCAGTAACATTAATAATGATAGTAATAGTGACAGGGTGGATAGGGGGGCAATGTGGCAGATGTTGCAGGTGTATGGTGTAGGAGGTAGGTTACTGAAAGCAGTGAAGAGTTTTTATGAGGATAGTGAGGCTTAAGTTAGAGTATGTAGGAAAGAGGGAAATTATTTCCCAGTTAAAGTAGGCCTTAGACAAGGATGTGTGATGTCACCGTGGTTGTTTAATATATTTATAGATGGGGTTGTAAGAGAAGTAAATGCGAGGGTCTTGGCAAGAGGTGTGGAGTTAAAAGATAAAGAATCACACATAAAGTGGGAGTTGTCACAGTTGCTCTTTGCTGATGACACGGTGCTCTTGGGAGATTCTGAAGAGAAGTTGCAGAGATTGGTGGATGAATTTGGTAGGGTGTGCAAAAGAAGAAAATTTAAAAGTGAATACCAGAAAGAGTAAGGTTATGAGGATAACAAAAAGATTAGGTGATGAAAGATTGGATATCAGATTGGAGGGAGAGAATATGGAGGAGGTGAATGTATTCAGATATTTGGGAGTGGACGTGTCAGCGGATGGGTCTATGAAAGATGAGGTGAATCATAGAATTAATGAGGGGAAAAGGGTGAGTGGTGCACTTAGGAGTCTGTGGAGACAAAGAACTTTGTCCTTGGAGGCAAAGAGGGGAATGTATGAGAGTATAGTTTTACCAACGCTCTTATATGGGTGTGAAGCATGGGTGATGAATGTTGCAGCGAGGAGAAGGCTGGAGGCAGTGGAGATGTCATGTCTGAGGGCAATGTGTGGTGTAAAATATAATGCAGAGAATTCGTAGTTTGGAAGTTAGGAGGAGGTGCGGGATTACCAAAACTGTTGTCCAGAGGGCTGAGGAAGGGTTGTTGAGGTGATTCGGACATGTAGAGAGAATGGAGCGAAACAGAGTGACTTCAAGAGTGTATCAGTCTGTAGTGGAAGGAAGGCGGGGTAGGGGTCGGCCTAGGAAAGGTTGGAGGGAGGGGTAAAGGAGGTTTTGTGTGCGAGGGGCTTGGACTTCCAGCAGGCATGCGTAAGCGTGTTTGATAGGAGTGAATGGAGACAAACGGTTTTTAATACTTGACGTGCTGTTGGAGTGTGAGCAAAGTAACATTTATGAAGGGATTCAGGGAAACTGGCAGGCCGGACTTGAGTCCTGGAGATGGGAAGTACAGTGCCTGCACTCTGAAGGAGGGGTGTTAATGTTGCAGTTTAAAAACTGTAGTGTAAAACACCCTTCTGGCAAGACAGTGATGGAGTGAATGATGGTGAAAGTTTTTCTTTTTCGGGCCACCCTGCCTTGGTGGGAATCGGCCAGTGTGATAATAAATAATAATAGTTACAGTAACAGTAATAATGAAAGTGATAGCTACAGTAACAGTAATAATGAAAGTGATAGTTACAGTAACAGTAATAATGATAGTTACAGTAACAGTAATAGTAATAGTCACAGTAACAGTAATAGTGATAGTTACAGTAACAGTAATAATGCTAGTAATAGTTACAGTAACAGTAATAATGATAGTGATAGTTACAGTAACAGTAATAATGATAGTTACAGTAACAGTAATAATGATAGTGATAGTTACAGTAACAATAATAATGATAGTTACAGTAACAGTAATAATGACAGTAATAGTTACAGTAACAGTAATAATGATAGTGATAGTTACAGTAACAGTAATAATGATAGTTACAGTAACAGTAATAATGATAGTGATAGTTACAGTAACAGTAATAATGATAGTTACAGTAACAGTAATAATGATAGTGATAGTTACAGTAACAGTAATAATGATAGTAATAGTTACAGTAACAGTAATAATGACAGTAATAGTTACAGTAACAGTAATAATGATAGTTACAGTAACAGTAATAATGATAGTGATAGTTACGGGTAACAGTAATAATGATAGTTACAGTAACAGTAATAATGATAGTTACAGTAACAGTAATAATGATAGTGATAGTTACAGTAACAGTAATAATGATAGTTACAGTAACAGTAATAATGATAGTTACAGTAACAGTAATAATGACAGTAATAGTTACAGTAACAGTAATAATGAAAGTAATAGTTACAGTAACAGTAATAATGATAGTAATAGTTACAGTAACAGTAATAATGATAGTAATAGTTACAGTAACAGTAATAATGATAGTAATAGTTACAGTAACAGTAATAATGATAGTAATAGTCACAGTAACAGTAATAATGATAGTTACAGTAACAGTAATAATGATAGTAATAGTTACAGTAACAGTAATAATGACAGTAATAGTTACAGTAACAGTAACAATAATAGTAATAAATACAGTAATAGTAATAATAGTAATAAATACAGTAATAGTAATAATAATAGTAATAAATACATTAAAAATAATAATAATAATAATAAATAAATAATAATAATAATAATAAATAAATAATAATAGTGTTGTGGGGGTGTGGGGAGTGGAGTGGGGGGGTTGTTTGGTAGGGTGTTGTGGGGGGTGGGGTGGTGGAGGGGGAGTGGGGGTGGAGTGGGGGGTATGGGGTGTGGGTGGTGGGGGGTGGAGGTGGTGGGGGCGTGGGGGTGTGGTGGGGGGCGCTGGTGTTGGGGGAGTGGTGGGGGGGTTGGGGGGTCCTGGTGGTGGGGGAAAGTGGTGGGAGGTTGGGGGTGCTGGTGGGGGGGTTGGGGGGTGCTGTTGGTGGGGGCGTGGTGTGGGGGTGGTGGGGGCGTGGTGGGGGAGTGGTGTGGGGGGGGGTGTGATGGTAAACAACTAACATGACAGACATGGCCGACCCTCTGACGGAAATTTGCTCCCCTGAGGACTTGAAGGTCAGTATATGGGTGAGGTGAAGGGTGTAGATGAAGGTCAGGTGAAGGTCAGGTCGTGTGTCAGGTGAAGGTGAAATAAATATATTATATGTGAGGTAATATGGCGGTAATGAACAAGCTGCGTCTGTCTTTATTATCTCCGCTGACCATCAGTCATAACTTACTTATTTTCAATGAAGATCAGACAATAAATTATGTTCACCGAGGTTGTCTGATAGTTAAGATTGCTTTATTATCCCTCTATATAATCATCCTGTGGATCGTAATCAAACTTTCATTGACTCACTATCTTAGACTCCAAAATTTTGATTCATGTATATTTTTATTTCTGTCTCTCGCATACAATTAAACTTTCATCATGATGTTATAAGGTAAATAATGTGAACCTTGGATAACCCAATAACTTTGTTCAAAATGTTCCTTATAACCAGGTAGTTTCTGCACAGGTAAATGTCACTCATCTCTACACATATTATATCTTGTGGAAATAAATCTTTGACCTTGAAAACCTGATCATAGTACAGATATACAGTTTGTGCTGCGATGAATCCATCACCGCTGCTTAATGCATCATGAGAATACGTTGTTGTGAAATAATCTTAAAGCCAGTAATCTTAAAGTACAGTACTGTGGCCCGGTGGCCCGGTGGCTAAAGCTCCCACTTCACACACGGAGGGCCCGGGTTCGATTCCCGGCGGGTGGAAACATTTCGACACGTTTCCTTACACCTATTGTCCTGTTCACCTAGCAGCAAATAGGTATCTGGGTGTTAGTCGACTGGTGTGGGTCGCATCCTGGGGGAGAAGATTAAGGACCCCAATGGAAATAAGTTACAGTCCTCGATGACGCACTGACTTTCTTGGGTTATCCTGGGTGGCTAACCCTCCAGGGTTAAAAATCCGAACGAAATCTTACCTTATCTTAGATGTAATTTATCTTCTCTCATTTCTACCTCAATCCTTTTGTTGTTCAGTACTATAAATTATCATTGCTGCAAATGCATCTCTCTTTCTCTTTCCCAAATGTCAGCGGCAGTTCCAGAGTCATTTTCTCGCTAATTGTTACTTGTTACTTTCTATGAGGTCTTGTCTTTTTTGCTTTGATTGTACTTTCTTAAGCACTCGTCACCGCTGTAACTAACTCTACCTCTGTTATATTCTCCACCCTCTCTAGTCTCTGATAGCTCTGGTGGCTAACGCTCTCGCTTCACACAGCGGGGGCCTGGGTTTGATTCCCAGCCAGGGTAGAAACATTGGGCATGTTTCTGTACACCTGTTGTCTATGTTCACCCATCAGTAAAATAGGTACCTGGGTGTTAGTCGACTGGTGTGGGTTGCATCCTGGGACACTGACCTAATTTTCCCAAAATGCTCAGCATAACATGGGCCTTCTATATAGTAGTACGTCATTGATGTCAGCTAGGCCGGTATGTATTCCTTGTACATGTACTTGTAATAAATAAAGATATTATTATTATTATTAAGTATATTAAACAGTTAGCATGCTCTACCCTACAGCACTTTATACCTTTGTGGGTTTAGCAGTTAATAATGACATTAAAAAATCGTCTTTTCTCCAAGATGAGATTTTGTTAGGATTTTTAACCCTGGAGGGTTAGCCACCCAGGATAACCCAAGAAAGGCAGTGCATCATCGAGGCACTCTGCCTTATTTCCATTGGGGTCCTCAATCTTGTACCCCAGGATGCAACCCACACCAGTTGACTAACACCCAGGTACCTACTTGCTAGGTGAATAGGACAACAGGTGTAAGGAAATGTGTCGAAATGTTTCCACCCTGCCGGGAATTGAACCCGGGCCCTCATCGTGTGAAGCGAAAGCTTTGCCAGCCAGGCCACAGAGCCCCTTTACATAGATCTCATCTACTGAGGTTAGTTATGGCTTGATTTGGCTCTACTTCTGCCAATTTAATTTGCTTTATAAATGTTTCCTATTGAGTTAGTAATTTATTTGTGATATAAAAATATAAACATTATAGCCTTTTATTATTTTAAAATACTCTTTTACTTAAAGTACAATACTGTGATTTATAATCAAGATGGATGGTTTTCAATATATTTAAAGTATATACAAAGTAGAATGACATGGAAAGCATATAAATCTATAGGGGAAGGAAGGCGGGGTAGGGGTCGTCCTCGAAAGGGTTGGAGAGAGGGGGTAAAGGAGGTTTTGTGGGTAAGGGGCTTGGACTTCCAGCAAGCGTGCGTGAGCGTGTTAGATAGGAGTGAATGGAGACGAATGGTACTTGGGACCTGACGATCTGTTGGAGTGTGAGCAGGGTAATATTTAGTGAAGGGATTCAGGGAAACCGGTTATTTTCATATAGTCGGACTTGAGTCCTGGAAATGGGAAGTACAATGCCTGCACTTTAAAGGAGGGGTTTGGGATATTGGCAGTTTGGAGGGATATGTTGTGCATCTTTATATGTGTATGCTTCTAGACTGTTGTATTCTGAGCACCTCTGCAAAAACAGTGATAATGTGCGAGTGTGGTGAAAGTGTTGAATGATGATGAAAGTATTTTCTTTTTGGGGATTTTCTTTCTTTTTTGGGTCACCCTGCCTCGGTGGGAGACGGCCGACTTGTTGAAAAAAAAAAAAAAAAAAAAATATACAACTTTGCAACACTGAAGCGATTTGTTATTGTTTCGTGTATGTACAGTACTGTGTATTCTATTTCAGATCTTTGAGCGGAATTACAATGAGGAAATGTGTAAAGGGGTGGTTTCAAGCAAGACACAGTTTGAATATGCTTGCTTCTTAGTCCGCAGCAAGTAAGTGTAGTACATAGATGCCTACAGGTATAGACTGATCTTATCTACCCATACAGTAAAAGATTTGAGTGTTCAACTTAAAAGCTCGCCCCCACTGTTAATAATACTTTTAAGTCATTAATGTATTGTGTCGACACATTTCTCTTTATGAAGTGTAACTATTAGTAAGTAAGTTTATTCAGGTTAACACAAATACGGTTACATAGATTATCATACATGGCAGCATATGTGTAAAATACCTAGGATAACCTAAAAAAGTCAGACAGGGTGACTTATTTCCATTGTGGTCCTTTATTAGTAGTAGTAATATTGGTATTATATTCATGGGGAAGTGTAAGAGTCTTGCAGATTATTATTATTACAATCAAGGGGGAAGCGCTAAACCCGGAGGATTATACAGCGCCTGGGGGGGATGTGAAAGGCATTCAGGCTTAATTCGGGGAACTGGAGCATAGATCCAATTCCCTAAATCAAGAGCCCCTCACCAACATCAAGGAACCTTCCTTGAGGGGAGAGTCTTGCAGAGCTTTGTAATTAAAATAACCTTGAATCAAAAATTGTATAATGTAGCATTTTGATTGTTGTGCTTTTTCCTTTTTATTTCAGATTACAATATTTTCATCATAACTATTTAACAGTAACTACGGGAAAAAAAATTTAGTATGTATGACTATTTTAGCTATCTAGAGAAAACGATGACTTTCAGTCCACTAATTTCTGATGACCAACATCAGGAATTAGTGGACTGGCTTATGATCCTGGCCTCTGGAAATGCATGCCATCAGCTCCTGGGATTCCTATAACTCTTAGCCAGGACTGGGAGTACCATGATGGATGCTGTAGACCAAGCCCTTGAGGTAGAGCTCAAAGGAAAGGATAGGCAGTATGTTTCAGCACAAGGACAGTCAATGGTACCTACATGTTTCAGCATTCTCTGGATGGCAAAAAGCATCTAATCATTTAAAGTTTGGATATTTAGAGCTCAGGTTATGTTGTAGCCATGAAAGGAAGCCAAACTATGAATCATCTGTGGTTTTGTTTCAAAACTTTACCTCATGGCTTCATTTTGGGCACTTCTGGCTCTTAATCCAGTGCATGACCTCTGATGAAAACAACTTCTGGGTTATGAGAACAGGAGTATTGAGATGAACAGAAGACAGCAATTTTATAGATAATTTTTGCAATTATCATATTAACAGTATCTCTTAAGCAATAATAGACCCCTCCAGGTAGGTTCCTTGGTGTTGGTGAGGGACTCCTAGTGCAATGAATTAGACCTGTGCTGCAGTTCCTTAAATTAAGCCTTATTGCCTTCCATTCCTCAGGCACTGTATTACCCTTATGAGTTTAGCATTCCCTCATAAATGTAATGTTAATAATAATTAGAAATAATTTGTGATTGTATTATAATGCACCTGAATTCTCACATGATGGGTCTTCCATCCTAAGGTACCCAGCAGATATTCAGCGAGGTGTGGTGCTCTTGGAAGAGCTTTATAAGCGCCCAGATGAAATTGGGAAACGAGACTACATATACTATCTTGCCATTGGAAATGCTCGTTTGAAGGTAAGCAGGAAGTGGCCACATACTTGCTAAGTTTCGACAGTATAAGGCTTACCACTTTGCAAGTAAATGATTTACACACTTAAATTTTAATGAATGTAAGTTTGTAATGATACATTCTATATAGTACAACCTCTCCTCACTTAGTGATGTACTCATTTACCGACGTCTCTGAGTTACGACGGGCTCTCTGACCAGTATGCATACCTAAATAATGTATATTAGAGCTGATTTCCTCTACAGTCTCTCCTCACTTAACGACGGAGTTCCGTTCCTAAGACCATGTCAGTAAACAAATTTGTCGTTAAGTGAGGAGCATACTGTAATGGTAGTGGGTTTGTGTCAACCATCTTCGATATTGTTTTAATGTCACGTTTGCACCATTTATAACATTTATGGTATATTTTTAAATGTTTATAAAGTAATGTACTGTATATTGTAATAAACAGAATAGAGGAAATCAGCTCTAATATACATTATTTAGGTATGCATACTGGTCAAAGAGCCTGTTGTAAGTCCGAGTCATTGGTAAACGAGTACATTGGTAAGTAAGGAGAGGCTGTATTCTGTTTATTACAATATACTATACACTACTGTATAAACATTTAAAAATACGTATACCAGAAATGTTATAAATGGTGCAAAGGTGACATTAAAACAATATCAAAGATGGTTGACACAAACCCACTGCCCTTATAGTATGCTCCTCTCTTAGCGACAAATTTGTTTACCGACGTGGCCTTAGGAACAGAACTCCATCGTTAAGTGAGGAGAGGCTGTATTTTTTATTATATGTTGCATAAGCATTGTAAATCCATATAGGACTAAGTCACTCAGTGCTGAGCTTCAGATTCATAGTTACAGAGGTACCTCACCTTAAGGCACTTTGCTTTAGAGTCTGTATAGTCCTTGTGGCTTAGCGCTTCTTTTTGATTATAATAATAATAATAATTTGCTTTAGAGTGCTTTGCTAGTATGGCACTTTTCAGTTATATTCATGTTTATTATTTTCTGGGTTTACCTTGCTCCTAGGATGGTTTACAATGGTGATGTGCATTTTTTACTTATTATTTTTTTAACTTTTGCATCTTTTTTAGGTCTAGCACTATTGCACACTTAAATGATAATGTAAACATGTTTTTAGGCTTTTATATGCACTGGCAAATGAAAAAAAAAAACTGTGATTAGCTTTAAGGTAATATTCACTTTACAGCAGTGGTCTAGACCCTAACCCCCCTATGTTAGCAAAGTATGCCTATACATGTGTAAATACAATAGAACCCCCATATCTACCGATTCGGTATCTGTGGTTCCGGTTATCCACGGTTTACTGTGGCCCAAAGATACCTCTTAATTTTGCATAATAATGGCCCCAAAGCACAAAGGTATAAAAGCTGGTAATTCTTCAAAGCCTAAGAGAATCCATAAGTGCTTCCCATCAATGAGAGTGATGATTCTCACCTTATTGTGCATAATTTATCAATTAAACTCATTATATATGGGGTTTGTCACTATCCACAGTATCAGTATCCACGGTAGGTTCCTGGAACATATCCCCCCACGGATATTTGGGTCCTACTGTAATACCACTTACCTGGGATGTGAGAGATTCATTGCACTTTATTGATCTCTGGTGATAACTTACAAATGTTGATCACTTGTCTCTTTTCTCTTGTAATTCAAATGTAATTTTTCTCTCTTCTTTAAATCATGTATTGATTTAAAGAATACAAACTTACAAAAACTTATGGCAAATTCAACCTCACATTTCTTTGTCTTTTAAACTTTAACTTGTTTTCTTAATCTTAAATCATAGTTTGTTTTTTTTGTACATCATTAGTGTACTGTACTTCATTAAATATTAAATTTTTAAATTTTACCTAATTGCAGGAATACCAGATAGCATTAAATTATTTAAAAGGACTTCTACAAGTAGAACCAGCAAACAGACAAGTTTTGGAACTAGAATCTTGTATTAAGAAGAGAATGGAGAAAGGTAAGCTTTGACAAGGTCATGAACATAAAAGATTTAATGTTGAAGTGTTTTGAAATTTGAAAGGATGTGAAATCTTCCAGTCTACTATGGGTTTTGAGCTGGTTTAGTGTGTATATATGTAGAGGATAGTAAAAAAAAAAAAATTGAAAATAGAAAAAGTGGAGGACTATGCAAATGTCACAAGTAATATTTTGGATATCAGTGTGGACTACTAATTTTTTTAGGAAAAAAATCCTTCAAGTTCCTTGATGATGGTGAGACTCTTAATACAAGGAATTGGATCAAGAGCTTCCTCCCCTTCCAATTCCCTTCTAAACCCCTACAAGTTTAGAACTTTCCCCTAAACTTAATAATTTGAAGAGGACAGAAACATATAGGATTTAGCTTTATATAGTTTACAGAGATAATTTTTTTCTTACAGATGCAATCAAAGGAGCAGCTATAGCAGGTGGCGCCATCCTTGGTCTTGGTGCGCTGGTGGGGCTCGGTGTAGCTTTGAGCAAGCGCCACTGATCACCTTTCCTCAAATGAATGTGATAATTAGCAGTTATTTTAAAAGCTGTTGTGGCTTGAAAGGATCTTTATTTCACATTATTAATGTACATTATATATAATTCCACTAGATGTGACCTTACTTTTTAAAAAAAATGAATGTACATGTAGCTTTTGATTCTATTTCATGATTTGTGTTACATATTTGCTAGATTAATGCATTACAGCAAGTCATAGTACCATAGGAATGGAGTGTACTGAACTATATCTCCTCATGATAGTCACTTAGCCACATCTATTGCCTCATGGTGTTTGTATCCACATGATGTGCTGCATGAATTCTTCTGGATTCTTCTTTCACTTAGTCATTGGCTTAGTGCTCAAGAAAATAATTACGTATATAACTACAACTACTGTACTGCCAGCTTAATGCTCAAGAAGGTACTGTATCACTCCTGTACCACAACTATTTAAAAAAAGAATATACATATTTGTAGATGTAAATATAGCCAAACAGGTGATACACAGTACAGTACTTTGTGTATTGTATATATATATATTATGTATAGCCTTCAATTGATATAAGGTATAGTTGACTTCATAATCTGGTGAATATGTTTAGGAATGATATTCTTGATCTCTATTAGTGAGGATTATGCTTTTGACATAAGTGTGTAACATTAAACCTCTTCATAGTAAGGCATTAGTTTATTTGTATTTCCCATGACAAAAACACAAAACATTAGTGAGATATCTTTAATGTATAATAGGCTCCCTATTCATTCCAAGATTGTAATTAAAATGAAATTGGATATATTATAAAAAAAGCTGTATTTCTAAATGAGTTGCAATCTAGGTTGGTCACTTGAGTGTTACCAGTTTACCAAGGTAGCATGTATCAGTGTTCTTTATCTAGAAATTACTTTTAAAATATTTTAGATAGAAAATATCAGCAGAAGTTTCCAGTAAGAATTTGTTCATTATTACCAACATTTATCACCTGCTTTGCTAGCAGTTTAGTTTAAGGTTGTATAAGTAAGACAGTGTATAGAAGCTGTTGTTTTTTAACACCGGCCTTCTCCCACTGAGACAGGGTGACCCATAAAAAAAGAAACACTTTCATCATCATTCACACTATCACTGTCTTGCCAGAGGTGCACAGAGATGACAGTTCAGATGGTCATCCCAACAGCAAATATCCCTACCCTTCCTTTAGAGTACAGGCACTGTACTTCTCACCCCCAGTACTCATGCCAAAATGCTTTCTTGAAAGAGTCACATCGAATTTGTGATTACTAAATTATAAAAAATTGCTGCAGGGCACTTTGGAAAAAGAGAAAAAAAAAAAAAATACTACTACAGTGCTGATCAACTCTCACTGGCTAAGTACTTTTTGTACGTACCTTTATTACTAAATTTATCTGAGACAGTTTATTTGCAATACTTAGAAATACGTATATTTAATATATATTTTGCTGGTTGTATTTCCATTTTCAAGGCTTTATTGATAGAGGTCATTGACTTGGAAAAATGACCTTGTACGAGGTATACAGTTTCCAACACATTCATGAGTTTAAGTATTTTTGTCAGTCACTTGTAAATTATTCTTATTAAAACATAGATATCTTATTGCTTCTTAATATATCTACTGCATAATCCATATGAACTTGAATTCCTCCATATCCTTCCTGATCAGTTTGTGCTGTGGTTCCTGCAATGGAAATTATGCTGCAAGCACCAACAGCTTCATTGACCAGGCCATCAGTCAGGGGTCTGATTAAAGACTGAGCCACAGGGGTGGTGATCTTTGAAATCCTCAAATAGGTAAAACCCATTCGACAGTCATAAAATTTGTAATGCATCTGTGTTACGACAGTATACTTCCAATCTTTTCAAATCTAGCATCTTTTGGTTCATGAACCATTACCTGTGTGTATGTGCTTTCATTTCAAAATTCATTAATAATTTTAAATATTGTGTAACAGATTGGTTCAAATGTAATGTTTGGTTTTATAAACATTGAATACAGCAGGGCTCAGAGTGACAATGTTTTGCATTTACATCATTGGCACTTTAACACCACTAAACTACTTATAAACCAGTGATTGGCACAGTGGAGACTACTTACAAAGCCTAAAATAAGCAAGAAACATCACTTCCAGCGAGCAATACTGGATCATCATTCAAAGTAAATACTGTACACAATGATTATTAAATATGTATCTTATTTTATTTTATAATTAATATGTACACATTGTAGAAATATCTTTTTTGCAACTGAAAATCACATTGATGGTAAAATCTCGGATAAAGATTCTTGGGAGTGGGAGGGGAAGCAACAGAAATTAGATACAGACAAATTAGGGTTTGGGAATGCATTACTCTAATCTATTTTACATTGTTTCTTTTGGGATATTAGGTTCCAAGTACCGAACATTTGATTTGATGAATTTTAAAGAATGCTTTATTCTTTCTTTCTTTCAACACACCGGCCGTATCCCACCAAGGCAGGGTGGCCCAAAAGGAAAAACGAAAGTTTCTCCTTTCAAATTTAGTAATATATACAGGAGAAGGGGTTACTAGCCCCTTGCTCCCGGCATTTTAGTCGCCTCTTACAACACGCATGGCTTACGGAGGAAGAATTCTGTTCCACTTCCCCATGGAGATAAGAGGAAATAAACAAGAACAAGAACTAGAAAGAAAATAGAAGAAAACCAAGAGGGGTATGTATATATACGCTTGTACATGTATGTGTAGTGTGACCTAAGTAGAAGTAGCAAGACGTACCTGAAATCTTGCATGTTCATGAGACAGAAAAAAGGACACCAGCAATCCTACCATCATGTAAAACAATTACAGGCTTTCGTTTTACACTCACTTGGCAGGACGGTAGTACCTCCCTGGGCGGTTGCTGTCTACCAACCTACTACCTAGGAATGCATTATTATTATAATCAAATAATAAAGCGCTAAACTGACAAGGATCGTGCAGCTAAAGAATGCATTAATATTATAAGTTATGGCCCTACTGCACAACATTTATAAGGCCATGATAAATATATGTATAGGATAAAGAATCCAATTATTAGAGTGCATTGGTGTACAGGGCCTTTTTCAAGTTTTGCATTATAGTAGTAGTATCATTATTGCATCATCATCATAGGTACCCATGTCTACAAGGGTATACAAACTCAGGCTACAGCTTGCTAACAGTTTTTAATAGACAAAATGCAAAAAACATTTTGTATAACTATATGATATGACTATTTATATAAGCACTTGGGTGCCTATATGATAATTTGATTTTGTATAATAATTTGATTTTGTATAATCAATTGACACAGAATCCTCTATACAGGCTTGTCATCTATGCTGGCCTTCTATAAGCAGACATGTTTTCATGGTAGGAAGGCTCGTCTTTGTAGATGCTTTGGTCTGCACTAGCTGGAGCTTTCTCTACTAAGGTGGCTATGGCTATGACTGTAGATTACCCAGAACTGTTCTCAGTCTGATAGCTATGCGTGGAGACTTTTATCAATTTTTCACTCTCTTCGTAGCGGTGTGGACAGTGATGGGCAACCCACTTCTTCAGTTACTGATTAGAAGTAAAATGGGAGGCTGAGTGCAGGAGGGGAATCAATGGACAAGTCCATTGATTACAGAATTGTCCATTATGATCACTGCAAAAAATCTTGTCAAGTCACCCACACACTCCATACCAGCCTCCCCAACTCGTCCATTAAATTTAGTGTGTGTTCAGTTTGCAATCATGATGATAACTAAATCTGGGAGGGCTACTTGGTATTTTAAAGTAGGGAAGTAATGAATATATACTGTATTTGAAGAAAAAATTTTAAGATTTTTCTTTTATTCAATAACAATTATAATAAATAAGAACACTATAAATAATGGTTAAAAGTAACATTCAAAATAAAGAATCTTTGTATCTGTACATATTTTCTAAAATTATATTCAACTGTATTTAGCTGTGTAGTTTTTGTTACCTGTACCTTTGACTAGGCAGTGTTTAATTTTTTTTTTGGCACAGGTTAAAATCTACAATGAAATAAGTTAATTTCATCTTCAAGGCCTTTTCCTATTAATTTTTTTTTTTAAGTGCTCTTTTTGGTTAAATATGTTGTGGATTTTTAGCCATAGTTGTCAGACAGGCCAAATTTTCTGAAATATGAATAGTATATTTTTTCTTACAGACTGATAGATCTATTCACAACAATTAACAATGTAAGCAGATTTTTAATTTTGTACCCAAACTAACTTATATTGCTAATTTATTCAAATTAATCTAGTACAATATAGCCTAAATCTACCTAACCTATAGTTAGTATTGCATAACCTCAATAAAACACTAATTTCGTGATGTTGTGGTTAATTTTTACAATTACAATATAAGAAAAATGAATACTGTACGCTTTGCTGTTCTGATAAAATGAACACTGTCAACATTACTTAGCAAAGACTAGATTTTTTAGGTTAGTTTATGATGATTCAGTAGAGACAAGTAAGTCACCAACTAGTAATTCATAGCTACCTGTGACTGCTAGCAAACATTATGAAAAAATCTGCTTTATTGTAAAATAATGAACATGCATATACAATTTTATATAATATATACAACAAAGCACATCAATGAGAATCACCAAAGCAAAACCTCTGTTAATGAATTAAAAAGCAATATTTGCAACAGCCTTCATTCTTGGCAATGAAAATTTGCCAAAAAAAAAAATGGCAGGTTTATCAGTTTAGGCAAAATACAACTAGTATACAGTATATTATTAACCCTTAAACTGTCCAAACATAGATCTACGTTTTTTCAACATTTGAAAGTATGTAAAAAAGTAGATCATCTTTTTTTTTTTTACATTTGAAAACGTGTAAAAAAAACTTTGATCTACTTTTTTTTTTTTGTTATATTTGAAAATATGTAAAAAAAACCGTAGATCTACTTTTGGAGCAGTACGCATGTGAACGTAGGTCTGCTTGGACAGTTTAAGGGTTAAAGATAAATAATTTTTAATTCCCATCACTATTCCCTTCATATTCCATAGGAATTATGAAGAAAGAAATAGGCAGCAAGACTGATACATGACTTTTTTATGGCATATAAAAGTTCTTTAGTATGGCTTTAACGTAGATTTACCAGGTGAAACTGCAGTTAGCATTATCACCTTTTTTTCTTTTTAAACACGTCAGTCATTTCCCACCGAGGCAGGGTGACCCAAACAGAAAGAAAAAACTTTCATCATTCAACACTTTCACCATCACTCATACATAATCACTGTCTTTGCAAATGCTCTCAGATATGACACTTTAGATGTCCCTCCAAAAATATGTAAACTAAGTTATTCAACAGTAAGAACTGGTTAATGCCCAGCCTTCCACCACTATATCTTTTAAAAATATAGTACATGTAATTTCCTATTATGGTATATGTAGTCTAATCTTATGTTCTTGTGCTTATCCATAGACCAACTGCACTCCATTCTCACTCAAAATGGACAATAAACTTGTGCATGGATCTCCTGATACTACAAACAGAATACAATACAGACAAAAATGGGAATTTAGCTGTGCACTGTATTCTCTTCCATTATTGCACTTAATGGCACACTAAGTACATTCCAAAACAAATCAATCAGCAGATTAACTGCAAGTTCCAAAAACAGTTCCACAAGGAACAATAGCAATAACAAATATAACGCTTCATTAATATAAATATAAAAGTAACAAAATAACAATATTAACAACTATTTAAGTAAACATATTACTACCAACATCCCAACAAGTAAAAATATAGAAAAGCATTCAAAATAAAAATCTGTCAGATCTGTGTTGTGCTTGATGGTTACCATCAATTAAAATTTTATAGGATGACTCTTAGTGCCTAAATTATAATATAAAAAAATATCTGATATACTGTAATGAAATAAGTAAAAGTCAAGAAACTTGCAGTCTTTAACCATTACCACACTTATTATTCTGCTGCTCTGATGATTGCCAGTAATTATTATCAGGGCAGATGAACAACTATCACAGGAATGTACAGTACTGCATTTTCCATAACTGGTGAACACTACCATCCACTACCTTCAGTAATGTATTTTGCATATGCAATTGATGCTAATTCCTTGGTGAATTCTTCGATGACAATTAATGCTTCAAACTTACGGTCATCTTCATCTCGTCTGTAATGAACAAATTCAGTTAATTTTATTAATCAAGAAAACACCTTTTATTATTCTAATTTAAAAAATGTATATCTGATATAGAGCATAATTTCAAAAGTGTTTCATAATGAATAGTCTTTTAAATTTCTTTTAATCATCCAATCAATATCTGTAATAAAATCAAATAATGATAATGTAAATTTAGCATAATCTAGATTTTTTTTTTTTTTTCAACAAGTCGGCCGTCTCCCACCGAGGCAGGGTGACCCAAAAAAGAAAGAAAATCCCCAAAAAGAAAATACATACTTTCATCATCATTCAACACTTTCACCACACTCGCACATTATCACTGCTTTTGCAGAGGTGCTCAGAATACAACAGCTCAGAAGCATATACGTATAAAGATACACAACATATCCCTCCAAACTGCCAATATCCCAAACCCCTCCTTTAAAGTGCAGGCATTGTACTTCCCATTTCCAGGACTCAAGTCCGACTATATGAACATAACCGGTTTCCCTGAATCCCTTCACTAAATATTACCCTGCTCACACTCCAACAGATCGTCAGGTCCCAAGTATCATTCGCCTCCATTCACTCCTATCTAACACGCTCATGCACGCTTGCTGGAAGTCCAAGCCCCTAGCCCACAAAACCTCCTTTACTCCCTCTTTCCAACCCTTTCGAGGACGACCCCTACCCCTCCTTCCTTCCCCTATAGATTTATATGCTTTCCATGTCATTCTACTTTGATCCATTCTCTCTAAATGACCAAACCACCTCAACAACCCCTCTTCTGCCCTCTGACTAATGCTTTTATTAACTCCACACCTTCTCCTAATTTCCACACTCCGAAATTTCTGCATAATATTTACACCACACATTGCCCTTAGACAGGACATCTCCACTGCCTCCAACCGTCTCCTCGCTGCTGCATTTACCACCCAAGCTTCACATCCATATAAGAGTGTTGGTATTACTATACTTTCATACATTCCCTTCTTTGCCTCCATAGATAACGTTTTTTGACTCCACATATACCTCAACGCACCACTCACCTTTTTTCCCTCATCAATTCTATGATTAACCTCATCCTTCATAAATCCATCCGCCGACACGTCAACTCCCAAGTATCTGAAAACATTCACTTCTTCCATACTCCTCCTCCCCAATTTGATATCCAATTTTTCTTTATCTAAATCATTTGATATCCTCATCAACTTACTCTTTTCTATGTTCACTTTCAACTTTCTACCTTTACACACATTCTCAAACTCATCCACTAACCTTTGCAATTTTTCTTTAGAATCTCCCATAAGCACAGTATCATCAGCAAAAAGTAACTGTGTCAATTCCCATTTTGAATTTGATTCCCCATAATTTAATCCCACCCCTCTCCCAAACACCCTAGCATTTACTTCTTTTACAACCCCATCTATAAATGTATTAAACAACCATGGTGACATTACACATCCCTGTCTAATACCTACTTTTACTGGGAAGTATTCTCCCTCTCTTCTACACACCCTAACCTGAGCCTCACTATCCTCATAAAAGCTCTTTCCAGCATTTAGTAACTTACCACCTATTCCATATACGTACTTGCAACATCTGCCACATTGCTCCTCTATCCACTCTATTATATGCCTTTTCTAAATTCATAAATGCAATAAAAACTTCCCTACCTTTATCTAAATACTGTTCACATATATGCTTCAATGTAAACACTTGATCTACACATCCCCTACCCACTCTGAAGCCTCCCTGCTCATCCGCAATCCTACATTCTGTATTACCTCTAATTCTAGAAATACTAAGAATTTTCCAAAACTATCAATTTTTGGGAACCCCCAACAATAGTAGTCTATTATTATTATTATTATTATTATCACACTGGCCGATTCCCACCAAGGCAGGGTGGCCCGAAAAAGAAAAACTTTCACCATCATTCACTCCATCACTGTCTTGCCAGAAGGGTGCTTTACACTACAGTTTTTAAACTGCAACATTAACACCCCTCCTTCAGAGTGCAGGCACTGTACTTCCCATCTCCAGGACTCAAGTCCGGCCTGCCAGTTTCCCTGAACCCCTTCATAAATGTTACTTTGCTCACACTCCAACAGCACGTCAAGTATTAAAAACCATTTGTCTCCATTCACTCCTATCAAACACGCTCACGCATGCCTGCTGGAAGTCCAAGCCTCTCGCACACAAAACCACCTTTACCCCCTCCCTCCAACCTTTCCTAGGCCGACCCCTACCCTGCCTTCCTTCCACTACAGACTGTATCAGTCTTGAAGTCATTCTGTTTCGCTCCATTCTCTCTACATGTCCGAACCACCTCAACAACCCTTCCTCAGGCCTCTGGACAACAGTTTTGGTAATCCTGCACCTCCTCCTAACTTCCAAACTACGAATTCTCTGCATTATATTCACACCACACATTGCCCTCAGACATGACATCTCCACTGCCTCCAGCCTTCTCCTCGTTGCAACATTCATCACCCATGCTTCACACCCATATAAGAGCGTTGGTAAAACTATACTCTCATACATTCCCCTCTTTGCCTCCAAGGACAAAGTTCTTTGTCTCCACAGACTCCTAAGTGCACCACTCACCCTTTTCCCCTCATCAATTCTATGATTCACCTCATCTTTCATAGACCCATCCGCTGACACGTCCACTCCCAAATATCTGAATACATTCACCTCCTCCATACTCTCTCCCTCCAATCTGATATCCAATCTTTCATCACCTAATCTTTTTGTTATCCTCATATGATACACTAAAATAAAAACTGAAGTGCATTTTGAACTCATTGTAGTACTAAAATTGTCATCTTCCAAACATATACACATACATACAGTATACAGATATATAAGTAGAACACTGAAATATATGGGATAAAAAGCATGGTGTTTGCTAAATTAACTGGAAGATACATTTAATGTTTCCTTGTCCTAGACACATGTAGCGGATCATTCATCAATCATCTGGGGTACAAGTCAGTTTAATGGCATATTCATTATAAAACTACCTTATAACAAAGAATAATTCTATGTATTTTTAACAGAGTCACATTACAGACAACTCTTGCCTCCCACCACTACTGTGTCTGCACATTTTAGTATAGCCCATATGAACTATTTCTTCCTTGTTAGTTTTCTCTCTCTGTTAAAGAATGTAACACTTGTGCAACATTTCAGAATATTAAGGAAATATTTCCTCAATAAAGATACCCATATGTTGCACAAGTGTATCATTCTTCAACTTGTCAGTTTTCTAAGCCATTTACATACGTATCTCCCTATTGCTCACTCTAGTATTGTCAATAGTTTTTTTCTACATTCCTTGTCTGTAGGTGTCTTAGATCTACAAATAATGCATTTCTTAACACAATTACATAAAACACAAAAAGTATGTAACACTCTAAACTTACTCAAAATCAAACTCCTCCATTGTGCCCAGGAGCTGGTATCTGGTGACCTTTAGGTGATCCTGGTAATCATCGCGTTCAATAATTGGCTGATGAATCTTGGAAACTACTGAGGAGAGAACAGTGTAGGGAGTGCGCACACCCCCTGACAACGTTATAGTGGGGTTCAGTAGGTACTCGTGGAGGTGAGGGTGTGGCAGCAGTGCTAGAGTGGCCACCAAAGAAGTCACTTGCAGATTGATATCATAATCCTGTGGATGAATTAATTAGAATACAGTCTCTTTCTTTATATCTGGGTATCTTTTCTAAGTTTTCCTAATTAATAGATAGCTAATTCTGAGGAGTTTCATTATTTACACTTTTTTTCATTTGCAGCACTGTACATATGCAGAAAACTGTTAATTCCTAAATTATTTACTATGGATTAAATATACTTGAAGGCTAGAATCTTGGATGATTAAAGCCTTAATGACCTTTCTACATGTTAGGAAAAAAAATAATTTTCATCATAAAGCTAACATACATGGCTATAAGCTTATTGTAAAGCCAATTATGCAGAGCATTTTGGGCATTCTAACATCATTCCTTAATAAGACTTGACTTCTAAAAAAATAAACTAACCCTAAACACATAACCTATACAACATATAACAGACCCCACTAATACCATATACAGCACTAGTATTGAGCCTGCAGTGTTAAATCTTCATTTATAATTACATTAACTCTTACCAAGATGCTACTATAACCTTCACTCCCTCTTTCACTACCATTACAAAATTATCTTTATTTTTATCAACTATTCCCCTTAAATTAAAGCTCCTTAGTAACTACCACATTCTCTTTTGAAGCACACTCAATACCTTAGTTATATTGCTAATGTTGTACACCATTTTTTGTATCTAAACCTTAACATAAGTACTAGTATTGAATACGTAATTCTATATTTACTTGCAGTATTGAAAGACTCAAAGCTTAATGCAGACAATTCTTTCTTCAAGCAAATTCATACCTGATCAGGTAAGTGTTCCATGAAATCCATAAGCATACTAAGGAATGGCCCTTCATAGAACGTGTTTCCTTCTGCTTCAGGACGTGACTCTCGTGAGGCTGTAGACGAGGAATCAGAAGGGCATTCTGGAGTTACAGCTTCTCTTGGCCAACCAAATGATGAACATGACTGAAGAAAAAACTTATTTTACATAAATAAAAGATAAAAATACCAGTATACAATATAAAACTTACCATTATTTATGGATCTGACTCTCTGCTTTTAAAACTTGGATTTTTAATAGCCAAATCAAAATTCCTTATTAATACCTACATATTTTAATTTTTGGTAAACAGCACTTCACTGCAATCACCAATATCTTCTAGTTTGCAGAGCACAGAAGATTAATTTCAACAAATAACTGAGGCATAACCAAGTAAAGGCAGTACAGTACTGTACTATGTGGAAAACTGCTGACAAAACAAGAGGAACTACAAATTTTTGAGAGTACGGTACTGGATATTAAGGTTAAATATTTTGTTATAGGTTTGTTGACAGCGATAAGCTGTGAGCCACCCATATTCTATTTCCCTTTCTGGATACCAAACACTTAAGATATCAAAAGATTCTCCACATTACTTACCCGACACATATCTTTGTACTGATGCTGAGCATCAGCCATGTAGCTCTCAAAGTCATCTTTGGGTGTAGATCTTAGCTCCTCAGGTACAACTGTCAAGAAACTTTTAAAAAATATCAAATTAATGCACACATGCTATCAAAAATTTTTCTTCTCAAATACAATAATCCATGCCATATAGGCAATGACTATTAGGCTAGCCAAGTAGAGGCAAATTTTATGTCAGTTCTTATACTCAAATGAGATTAAATAAACTTACAACACATTTTTGGTGCCATTTAACATAATTCTAATGCTGTAACAGAATAGCAAATCATTGAAAAAACTTGTAAGCAGCTACTAGCGGACATATTAATAGTTAGTGTCAGGTTTTAAAGCTGCAATTTCTCTGCTGAAAAAAATGGTTACTGAAAATTACCACAGACACTGTTGAAAAACTTCTTAAGGTTATACAGTACATGTGCTGGTTACATGTATACAGTGGACCCCCGCTTAACGATCACCTCCCAATGCGACCAATTATGCAAGTGTATTTATGTAAGTGTGTTTGTACGTGTATGTTTGGGGGTCTGAAATGGACTAACCTACTTCACAATATTCCTTATGGGAACAAATTCGGTCAGTACTGGCACCTGAACATACTTCTGGAATGAAAAAATATAGTTAACCGGGGTCCACTGTATCTCTAACACACATTCAATGATGAAACTCACCTTTTGACAATCTTGTTTATGTTAGCTGGTGCTAAAGTTCTGCTGATGGGTGGTGATCCTGGCGAAGTCTCACCTGTGTGCATATATATTAATACCTCTACTATTATTATTTCACTTACATTTGTGTGCTCTGAGACTGCCAGAACACAAAGCATTATTATTTGCCATCTTAGTTGCATTTCAAAATCTTAAACTACACATGCATTTTTTTTTTAACACCGATGGTTTTTTTCCTTTCCAAGGCAGAATTCCCCCCCCCCCCTAAAAAAAAAAAAGTCATTATTCATTCAAAGCTGTATTGCCAGAACCCCTCAAGGAAGGCTCCTTGAGGCTGAAGAAGGGCTCTTGTTCCAATTGAACTTTTCCTTCCTTTCCTTGGCTAGAGATATATCATTTATGTTTTACACACTGGCGCCTGTAGTATACCTGTTGTCTTGCTTTTTGATACCAATTTACTTTTAGAGTACAAAATGTCTAGGAATATAAAAGTCAGTGTACTTCTTTGAAAAGTAAATTATATTTGACTGACCATCTCTGTGTTTGTATCTCTCATCCTCTTCATCAGACCAGGAGCTCTGCAAGTGCTCTGCTGCAGAAGAATCGTGGTATGCACGTGTTGCTACATAGTTCAGTACTAACGACTGCACAGCCATGCTTCCTGGCTTCTCCATCAGCACCTGAAGGATAGCAATATATTAAGACATTACTTGTAACAATAACTTCTTTGTACAACTAAACAAAGCACAATTCCCTCTCAACTTAAATAAGCTATGGTTTACCAGGAGTTGGTTTCAAGAGTCAATGCCCCCATGGCCCGGTCTGAGACCAGGCCTCATGGTGGATCAGGGTCTGATCAACCAGGCTGTTACTGCTGGCCGCACACAAGCTGATGTACGAACCACAGCCCGGTTGGTCAGGGGTTTATTGGTAATCCCCCTTATGTATGCTGAGAGGCAATTGAACAGTCTTGGGCCCCGGACACTTATTGTGTTGTCTCTCAGTGTACCTGCAGCGCACCTGCTTTTCATTGGGGGAATGTTGCATCTCCTGCCGAGTCTTTTACTTTTATAGGGAGTGATTTTCATGTGCAAGTTTGGTACCAATCCCTCCAGGACCTTCCAAGTGTATATTATCATGCATCTCTCTCACTTGCGTTCAAGGGAATACAGATCAAGGACCTTCGACCATTCCCAGTAGTTTAGGTGTCTTATCGTACTTATGTCTGCCGTGAAAGTTCTTTGTACACTCTCCAGGTCTGCAACGTCACCAGCCTTGAAGGTGGCCATTAGTGTACAGCAGTATTCCAGCCTAGAGAGCACAAGCAATTTGAAGAGAATCATCATGGGCTTGGCATCCCTAATTTTGAAGGTTTTCATTATCCATCCTATCATTTTCCTAGCAGATGAGGTAGATACATTGTTGTGGTCTTTGAAAGCGAGATCCTCTGACATTATCACTCGCAGGTCCTTCACATTACTTTTCTGCTCTATTGTATGGTTAGAATTTGTTGTATACCCTGACACATTTTTAACTTCAAGTTTCCCATATCTGAGTAGTTGAAATTTCTCCTCGTTGAACTTCATATTTGTCAGGAAGTTGTAGATCCATCTACCAACTTTTCCCGTTATTTCTTTATCACGCATTTTCTGTGCTATTACACCATGGTCACACTTGTTGAAAGCTTTTGCAAAGTCTGTGTATACTACATCTGTATTTTGTTTATCCTCTACAGCATCCAGGACCTTGTCATAGTGGTCCAGTAGCTGGGACAGGCAGGAGCGACCTGCTCTAAACCCGTGTTGCCCTGGGTTGTGTAATTGATGGGTATCTAGGTGGTTGGTGATCTTGCTTCTTAGAACCCTCTCAAAGATTTTCATGATATGGGATGTTAGTGCTATCGGTCTGTAGTTCTTTGCAATTGCTTTACTGCCACCTTTGTAGAGTGGGGCTATGTCTGTTGTTTTTACTGTGTGTGGGATGACCCCTGTGTCCATGCTCCCTCTCCATAAAATGCTGAAGGCATGCAATAGGGGCTTCTTGCAATTCTTGATGAACACGGAGTTCCACGAGTCTGGACCTGAGGCAGAGTGCATGGGCATGTCACTAATTGCCTCTTCAATTTCTTGTGGAGTTAGAATAATATCTGAGATTTTTGGGGTGACCAAACTTTGGGTTTCGTTCATAAAGAATTCATTTGGATTGTCAACCCTTAGTCTGGGCAGTGGCTCACTGAACACTAAGTCATATTGGGACTTTAGTATCTCACTCATTTCTTGGCTATCGTCTGTGTATGTCCCATCCCGCCTAAGCAGGTAGTAATCAGTGAATACAAAGTGTAATCTGATACAGTGATAATCTGATATCAGGACCAGGAACCTTTTGAAATAAGAAAAAAACTAAAGGAATATAAAATACATAGGATCTTAGTGAAATCAATTCAAATGTGTTAAGAGTTAAGTCTACAGTTCTGCTTTGTCACTCCATAAGGGAAATTGATAATTAAACAACATTTCAGTCAACTGTGGACTATTATAAAAACTGGAGTTGATAATGGTCTTGGATGAATAGAAACAATGCCCAGATTTGAATTATAATTTGTGGTTTTGTAATTTGTTCCAGCCCCAAATTATGACTCATTCTTCAGTGTTTTCATTCTTGCTGTATTTATTCATTTTTTAATGAATCTTATTCATACGGAGCCAAAACTAAGAAAAACAAACAACTCTCATTAAAATCTTGAGGTAATTTACCTGAAGTAACCTTAGAGCCTGTATCTGGAGATGATGAGGTGGTTGCTGGCACAGCAGCAGCATATGATGTCTCATGCTGCTCTCACCTCCTACATCCTCAGAGTCTTCAGTCAGCCAGGAGATGATGCCTGAACAATAAATTCCCTGTACTACAGTATACAATGTAAAATCTAGTGGGTAAGTCAAAGATCAGGCCTGACTACAATATTCCAAGATATAATGAGAAATGCATCTCCAATAGCATATGCAACTCATTTTTAAAAGTATGATCCCCTCAAGGAAGGTTCCTTGATGCTGGTGAAGAGCTCTTGATCTAGGGAATTGTATCTGTGCTCCAGTTCCCTGAATTAAGCCTAAATACCTTCCCCGTCCCCCCTCCCCCACAGGCGCTGTATAATCCTATGGGTTTAGCGCTTCCCCCTTGGCTATTATAATAACAATTAAAAGCACGATCAAATATTCATGAATTTATTCATAACGAGGTATCTTCCAAATTGGCTGTCGCATGTCTACTAGACAATTACAATGACATTCTTTTGTATTGCAATAAATCATTGCTCAGTGACACTAGTTATTTATAAATAGTAGCAGCTGATCCTACATAGAAAACTTCTCTTATTTTTGTAATATTTTATAAAATTACAAATAAAATACCCAAAGGGAAAATAATTTGCTAGTAACATGCATTCACCACTACAACAATAACTAATGGTAAAGTATTTAGCATTAACAATGTAATGCAAAACTTACCATTAACAAGCAGTGGGGAGGAGACTGAGGTGACGATTTTAGCCGTTAGAGCAATGTACAGAGATATTGTATCTTCATCATCACTTGTAAGGTTCCCACGCAATACACCATCCAAGAACACCTCTCTTACTGTATTACAGATGCTCGAACCCAATGCACCGGCACTTACACCTACAAGCTAAAAAGTTGCAATAAAGTATTATAGTACAGAATAAAGAAAAGTACATTATATATTGATCTCCAGTCTCAAGTACGGTATCCCTGGCTCCCTGATAATCCTTGTCCATATTCCAGTAAATATACCCAAAGAGAGAAACAATGGTAAGAGTTAGTCTTAGATAGACTTCTTTCCCTGGCCTCTCTCTCTTATTTATTCCAATCTTCCAATTTGAAGAATCAAGTGCATTAAGTAGTGCAGGTGTATGTTAGAGAAGTGCAAATATGAATTTTAAGAATGTGGAAATGATACAGTGTGTGGAAGTGAGAGAGACAATTATGGTAATTAAGAGGAGCTGGAAGTGAGTCGAGATGCAAAGGTGTGGTCATTAGATGTAGGAGCGAGTGACTAGTAGTTCCAGAAGCTGCGGCTCAGCCTCCTCATACAGTTAAGTAATAAATCCAATAATAGCAATTAATCCACTGAAACTGCTAATATTTAACAGGAAGCCTTACAGTATAAACATGTATAATTGTTTTTAAAATTCATGTCAGTACATTAATAATGATCCCAATCAGAAAGATACTGAACATAAAGCATTACTTAAGAAATGAACATAAAAAATGTGAAGATGTTTTGGAAAGATTCTGTAGAAGGCTGCCCCTCAATCTTTAGGCAACAGGGCACCATTGGTACATTAAACATAAATCTTTCAACAAACCGACCGTATCCCACCGAGGCAGGGTGGCCCAAAAAGAAAAATGAAAGTTTCTCTTTTCAAATTTAGTAATTTATACAGGAGAAGGGGTTACTAGCCCCTTGCTCCCGGCACTTTAGTTGCCTCTTACAACATGCATAGCTTATGGAGGAAGAATTCTGTTCCACTTCCCCATGGAGATAACAGGAAATAAACAAGAACAAGAACTAGTATGAAAATAGAAGAAAACCCAGAGGGGTGTGTATATATATAGTATATGCTTGTACATCTATGTGTAGTGTGACCTATGTGTAAGAAGTAGCAAGATGTACCTGAAATCTTGCATGTTTATGAGACAGAAAAAAAAAACACCAGCAATCCTACCGTCATGTAAAACAATTACAGGTTTCCGTTTTACACTCACTTGGCAGGACGGTAGTGCCTCCCTGGGCGGTTGCTGTCTACCAACCTACTACCTAGGACTAAACATAAATACAGCTTTAATTTTATTTGCCAACAAATTAAAACTGAGGTGGTTATCAATCTTCTGTATATAAATAGTTAAAATTATAAATGCAGTAAACATTACAACATGATACACATGAAACCAACTTTCATCAATTATCAATTCAGTACCCTAACTACTACAGTGTGTACCTTCTCATAATGCAACATGTCACAATGAAGCCAAGTGCTTTTCCAGCTGCATCTTCCCTTCCTATGCAACTATCTTCTATCCATCTGCAAAGTACTTTCCAAGTTACCTCACATTTTTGAAGAATAGCTTTACATTAAATATTTCTAATATAATGAACAAAATACAATTTACATAGACCATGGCACCAAGAGCTCTATTATACAGAAAATACTATACTGCTGTATGTATAATGTTAAGAATCACAGTACCTTATCACAAAAAGTAAGCCAGTGAAGGAATAAAATTATTTCTTTTTTGCCGGGAAACTCTCCAATAACTTCCTCATCATCACTGTCACTATTTTCATTGCCTTCAGTCCTGGAATATTTTTTTATTTCAATTAGTTAAGCTGCTTTTGCTTTCAGAATTGTTATTATTTTTATATTATTAGAGACACAAAAGTAACCCTATTAAGGACATTCAATGCTCACTCTGTTGGCAACAATAGCCAGAACTAATTTGCTTGCTGCCAATAATAGTGAAGAAAAGAGATACTTTTTAGAACAAACTTTTATTGAGACTTTTCACTCTGTTAGGTTCTTAAAAGACTGAAACGTTGTCCCAATAGAAGCATGTTCTGCAAAGTGTTTTTTCTTCATGACAACAAAGTTTTTAAAGAAGATAAGGCACAATGTCGTGACTAGAACACTACATGTATTACTTTCATAATTATATGTTACATGAACCTGCTTTATGAATTCATTGCTACAATTCTCAAATGTCATGAAAATTAAAGAAAAACAATTTAAATACTTTACATTTAGTTAACTATACTAGGCTGTTTATAAGTGTTCTCATAGCTTTACAGTTGTTAGGCAAGTATTAACAGAGAACCTATACAACTAAATATATACAAGTGAGAAATTGTGGCAACTAATTATAGTACAAATCAATATACAAACACATGCAATTTAAAGCCAATTAATGTTTCATATTACTTTCTGGTCCTCATGATAGAATTATGCTTTAATGAAAAAAAATATGACTATTATATACCTCACTGTGGATGGCTATGTCAGCTAACTGGTGCCCACCTGACTTTTTCTGATGATGGGACATCCTCTATTAGTGCAGGTTCAGTATCAGCAGGAATGTTATCAGTGGCAATGACCAAACGGGTGGCTAGATAGTGGGGAAGGAGTGTGTATCTCGCTATAGTTGAACTGCTCTGTCCTTCTCTGACACTTGCTATACCCACAAGGCAGTCATGTGCTGTTGCAGAGATCTGGCTGTCCTGATATAATATATATTTATATGTTAAACATTAATCCCATACATTATATTGAATTAACAGTGAACTGTGACCATTGTCAACCTTCAATTTGCTCTTTTAACTGCATAATAACTTTAAGGATTGTGACCCTTGCAAGTAAAAAGATGTAAGACTACATGAATCAAACAACACTGGCCTGCAAATGTATTAAACAAGTACAAACAAATCTCCATGGTGAAATGGAACAGAATTCTTCCTCTGTAAGCCATGTGTGTTGTAAGAGGCTAGTAACCCCTTCTCTTGTATACACCACTAAAATTAAAGAGAGAAAATTTTGTTTTTCTTTTTAGGTCACCCTGCCTCAGTGGGATATGGCTGGTTTGTTGGGAAAAAAGTACAAACAAAAGAATAATGAATCTCTCTTCTGATTTTCAAAACAAACATATAATGCCTGGAGTTCAGGTAATGCGTGAAAAACAATGCAGCAGAAACCTATATTATAGACAAGTTTTCCATTTCAAGTCATACAAGGAATAAAATGACTAGATATTATATACAGATGGAAAAGTGAGATTAGGTATCATCTGTGGCATTGATCTGAGTGAAGTTGGTGTTACATGTGGGATATGAGCAGGTGCTGGAGTCACCTGATAGGTTTTCCTAGGAAAAATGAGTTTAGTCAAGTGCTCCTTGATTCTGTTCTTTCTATACCTATGTGTAACAAATAACAAAAAAAGGCACAATACCGTGACTGGAACGATACACAAATAACCCGCACATAAAAGAGAGAAGCTTACGACGACGTTTCGGTCCGACTTGGACTTTGTAAATGGTCCAAGTCGGACCGAAACGTCGTCGTAAGCTTCTCTCTTTTATGTGCGGGTTATTTGTGTATATACCTATGTGTACTTACTTTATCAAACTCCACTTTCCTCATAATACAAATTCTATATTTTGTAGTCATTCCGAGTCCTCAGATAAGAGCAGTAATGGAAACTATTGTAAATAAAAATTGCACTGCAAAATTAACTATATTTCCACTAATAATTTTTATGACACATTATCTTTCCAATTACTAATTACTGAGATCAGACCTATGGCAGCCTGTGATACACCTATTCAATGTACTGAATATTCCATGAAATCAAAATCTAATCCATTAATAAAAATGTATCAGTCACTATCTACTAAGAATACTCAGTTTACTAGACAAAATCACAGTATTATACTTACTGCACTGTGGCACAGGTTGAGCAAAGCATCCACTAGAGGAAACTTGGGTTGTGATTTTTCCAATGCCACCACAGAAACTGGATCACTGTTGTTGGGGCTCATGTTAATGTGAGATGGAGTTGGTGGCAGGCTGTCTTCTGGAGTGTAGCCACTTGACACAGCTCCAGTGAGTGCTAATGGCTGAAATTTTAAAGAAAAAAAATGTTAATCTTTGTAAATCTTCTATTTTCAAACTCTCCTCCAAACAGTAAGTTCATTGGAAATATAAACACATATGCAGTTTAATGTGATCCTTTATTGACAACGTTACGCCCACACAGTGGGCTTTTTCAAGTCACAAACAGATCTGTTTGTGACTTGAAAAAGCCCACTGTGTGGGCGAAACATTGTCAATAAAGGATCACATTAAACTGCATATGTGTTTATATTTCCACTGTGTTGGTATTTTATACCATTTATTTCCAGTAAGTTCATTATCCAACTTGGTAAGACTATCAATTTCTTTATCGAAATTAAATAGTTTAAGTTAGATTGTAGTTTGCTTTCATCTTAATTAATATATTTGAAAACAGTTGATAGCCAACATAATCTCTACAGAAGGAAAGACTTCACTGTTTCTAAGTAGTTAAAAACTACGTATTCAATGTTTAAGGTAAAAATGTGCTTTGGTCCCTCAGAAGTTAAAGTTCATACCTAAAAATCCACATCTGATGATAAAATGTCTACACAGAAATGGATACATAAAATAATAGCAATTAGTATCTGTATACCTATCAATAAGTATATACAGCAAGGCCCTGCTTTACAATGCTTTGCCTTACATTATTTCAGCTAATACAGCAGTTTTCAATTATACCCATTCTTCAGTTGTTCAGACTTCCTACAATAATATATTCGTCTCTAATATTGTTTGTTTTGTTAATTCATGTTAAGCGCTAAACCCATGTGGGTCATTCAGCTCAAGACGTGGTGGAAGCTCGATCCTGCATCAGACACAGTTCAATATAAGCTATCTATAAAAATATTTTAAGTTCTACATGTAATATGCGTACTGTACATGCATTTTTTAGGCCTAGCTACATTGCTCACTTAATATATGATATGTAAACACATTATCAGGCTTTTATATGCATTTCAAAGTGAAAAGAAAGGGGCTATGATTCACTTTACAGTGGTAGCTTGGAACCTAACCTGATGTATAAGTGGGGCCCTCCTGTAATGATAACATAATACCACCTTAATCCATTTCCATGTCTTTATTTCATCCATCAAGGAAGTAATTTACCTAAAGTGATCATTGTCAACAATATCAATAATCACATTTAATTATAAGATTTATCTGTGTCTTCTAATTTAGAAGCTTTATAAAGTGAAAATTACTAGTTGAAGATGTTATAATTTAACCCTTTGAGGGTCCGTCCCGTAGATCTACAGCTTTACGGTGAGTGTCCAAACCGTAGATCTACGCCATGAGCTCAGCTCACTCTGATAAACTGTGAGTGGTACATTTGGGCCTAGATATGAGAGAATACATCTATGTGGTATGTGTGCACCACATAAAACAGATCCTGCAGCACGCTGTGTATAATGAGAGAAAAAAACTGAAATCATGATTTTTCGATTAAAACAGCGACTTTGCAGTGTTTTTTCGTATGTTTTTTATAGTTCTATTTGCGATTTCTTGGTCTCATTTGATAGAATGGAAGACATATTACAGAAATAGAGATAATTTTGATTGGTTTTAGCACTGGAAATGGCTTGAAACTGAGCTCAAAGTAGCAGAAATGTTAAATTTTTGCCGATATTCAAGAGTAAACAAACGACCTTACACGTCTAATACAAGCCAGCTGGTGGGTCTAATATGCATTCACAAATATGGTGATGATATTTATACAATTATTACAGTATTGCATAACAGTAAATCTTCTATTTTTTGGTGTGAATAAAAATTCATTTGTGAATAAAAAATCAAAATGGAATTTATTTATAAAGCTCAAAACAAAAACTAATGAACAGGGGAAAAATGTTAGTTTAGTTCCAGGAATACCTACATTGTTTATTCTGGACCTATTTTGAAATTGGAATATTTTGAACTTTGTGTTAAATTGGCCAAATTAAACAATTTCCGATCACTTTAATTTGTATTTTGAAACAGTTGACTTGGCGATTTCTTGTGCTCAATCGATAGAATAGAAGTAATACTAGTGAAATAGCTAAGAATTTGGTTGACTGGAATAATGTAATTGGCCTAAAGTGGGAGTCAAATTCGGCAAAATCGCCGATTCGTAAATATCGCTGACACATCAATATTCGCGACAGCATAATTTCGTCAATTTTCCATCAAATTTCGTACTTTTTGTTTTATTACCTTCACAAAAAGATTCTCTACCATTTCATAAGAAAAAATAACAAATTTTTTTTTTTTTTTAATTTCTTGGACACTGGGGCACCACTTCAGATTTGGGCCTTGGACCCTGAAGGGGTTAAAATGACTCTCCCTCATTTGGGAAATACCCTAACAGTACAGAATTAATATACTTTTTCTAACTATTAAAGACAACTAGGGGAATAAAATTAGAAGGCACGTCTGTCTCTTGTGTAGGAACCCTCACTAATACATATGCTGAATGCTGAATGACCCTCATATAAATCTAATGGCTAAAATTACCACTGTATTTATATACAGTATTATTTCTAAGGTCTCGTTACACTTACACTGGCTGAAGCCTCATCTTATTTACCTGAATGTATAGCAATATTATACTGCTATCTTGTCGTATTTTTTCACACAAAGTAGACAAAAATTCAATTTCTTCTGCCTCATAAGGAGAGGCTCTCGTTTCACAACTTATTCGAACCATAACCTGGAATAGATTGAGTGACTGATTATAGTACAGTAGTGATATACTCCTCTTGGCAGCAGACTGATAATATTTTAAAGCAACTTAAGTGAACTTAATGTGCAACCATTAGCGCATAAATGCTTGACAGCAAAATGCTCTTACTGGGACATGAACCCAGGTCCAGCATCAAATTAGGAGAATACGGCCCGAGCCACCAAACCATTAAAAGCAGCAAAGAACATATTTCAACTAATTCAACATAAGTACTTATTATACATGTGAATTCAGAGACCATACTCATGATTATTCCACTGCATCCGAGGCTTTTTGGTAACTAGATAAATTATTCTGTACCAAAAAAAAAGTACTTATGTTCAAATATTGATACCAATTTAAATAAATTAATGAACCTAAATGCTAGGATGTTAGGGAGAGGGGTGGGAGTAAATTATGGGGAATCAAATACAAAATGGGAGTTGACACAGCTACTTTTTGCTGATGATACTGTGCTTTTGGGGGTTTCTGAAGAAAAGAAGTTGCAAAGGTTAGTGGACGAGTTTGGGAGAGTGTGTAAAGGTAGAAAGTTGAAAGTGAACATAGATAAAAGTAAGGCGATGAGGGTATCAAATGATTTAGATAAATAAAAATTGGATATTACATTGGAGGGAGGGAGGGAGTATGGAAGAAGTGAATGTTTTCAGATATTTGAGAGTTGACTTGTCAGTGGATGGGTTTATGAAGGATGAGGTAAACCATAGAATTAATGAAGGAAAAAAAGGTGAGTGGTGCACTGAGGTATCTGTGGAGACAAAGAACGTTATCCATGGAGGTAAAGAAAGGAATGTATGAGAGTGGTACCAACACTCTTATATGGGTGTGAAGCATGGGTTGTAAATGCTGCAGCGAGGAGGCAGATAGAGGCAGTGGAGATGTCATGTCTCAAGGCAATGTGTGGTGTAAATATTGTGCAGAGAATTTGAAGTGTGGAAATTAGGAGGAGATGTGGAGTTACTAAAAGTATTAGTCAGAGGGCTGAAGAGGGGCTGTTGAAGTGGTTTGGTCATTTAGAGAGAATGGAACAAAGTAGAATGACTTGGAGAGCATATAAATCTATTGAGGAAGGAAGGCGGGTTAGGAGTTGTTCCCGAAAAGGTTAGAGGGAGGGGGTAAAGGAGGTATTGTGGGTGAGGGGCTTGGACTTACCGTGAGTGTGTGTAAGCATGTTAAACAGGAGTGAATGGAGACGAATGGTTTTTGGGACCTGACGAGCTGTTGGATTGTGAGCAGGGTAATATTTTGTGAAGGGATTCAGGGAAACTGGGTAGCCGGACTTGAGTCCTGGAAATGGGATGTGCAATGCCTGCACTTTAAAGGAGGGGGTTTAAGGTTGGAGGGACGTCTAGACTGTCGTATCTGAGCGCTTCTGCAAAGACAGTGATTATGTACGAGTGATGGTGAAAGTGTTGAATGATGATGAAAGTTTTTTCTTTCTTTTTTTTTTTCTTTTTGGGTCACCCTGCCTTGGTGGGAAGCATCCAAAGTGTTAAAAAAATGAAACACATCTACAATATACACAATAGGGGGATGGGTGCAGTGCAGATACTATAAAGTCTTGCAAGACTGTACATCATTGAGAGAGAAGCATAAAGCAGATCATTCACATACCTGTAGAGGCTTGTGTATAGGTGCATGATGGAGATGAGTATGGTGGAGATGGTTTAGTACCCCAACCAAGAATATGTAGACATGCTGACGTATCCCCAGAGGTCGGTCAGCACGAGCGTGCAAGGCCAATGCAGCTAAAACTTTCTCTTGTACAAGATACTCCATGCATGGGCTCAAAGGTCCTCCTATGCACTGTTCCCGTTCTTCTGCCACCAGCATCTGCAATTATGTATGTTGGACTTTCTAACCTCACCATAAATGTGATGACACTCTGTGCTTAATAAAAATGCTGTATAGTAATAATACAGTACTCTATAAGTATCCCTCATTTGGCAACAGAGTTGTATTCCACAAAAAAAAGGACATTAAGAAAATTTATATAAAGCTAATTCTACTTTACCAAAATGTCCTTTTATATGAATGGAGTGTGTGTGTACTGGAATAAGTGGGAGGTGACAGGAAAGATTTTCTGCCTCATCTGAGCAATCAATTGTGGGAAGAGGGTAATTATTGTAGGTTACAGTAGAGGGCAATACTATTGTAGGTACAGTAGATGGCAATACTGTAACTGTAGGTATTTTCCTTGGGACTCCCTTAGATGTAGAGACTTGTCTGAAGAAAAAAGTGTTTAGTAAAGGCTGTGTAGTGTTCTTCCATCAGGATACCCGATGTGTCCAGGACATTTGATGTTCAATTTCCATAGCATTAAATTTCAGAATAAGGAGAGTAGTAGGGGTGATGATATACAGGTTTGTTCCTTAACCCTTTGACTGTTTCAGGCCCCTCTCTGAAACTGTCATTCTATGTCGCTCAATTTTTGAAAAAAAAAAAAAAAATTATTTTTTCTTATGAAATGATAGAGAATCTTTTCCCGATGGTAATGACACCAAAAGTTCGAAATTTGGTCGAAAACTCGTGGAATTATGCTCCCGCGAAGTTAGCGGTCTCGGCGACATATGCGTATCGGCGATTTCGCCGACTTTGAGCCCAATTTTCAGCCAATTCCATTGTTCCAGTTGACCAAACTCATAGCTATTTCTTTAGAACCCCCATTTTATCTATCAGCTGAGCACAAGAAACCTCCCCTTTATAATTTGGACTACCCAATATGGTGGTCAGAAATTGGCAATTTTACCCAAATTTCACGCAAAATAAAAAAGATGCCAATTTCAAAATAGGGTCCAGAATAAACAAGGTAGACATTCGTGGCACTAAAATAACATATGCTCTGTTCATTAGTCACATCTCTAGGCCCCTCTTATATTATTATTGTTTTCTATTTTGATTTTTTATTCATACAAAAAAATACAAAATTTACTGTTATGCAGACGACTGCATTATTGTAAAAATGGTATAAATAATATCAGTGCACTAGTGAAAGAATATTAGACTCCCCAGTTGACGTGTATTGGACGTGTGGTGTGATTTATTTACTCTTGAACATTGGTAAAAATCGAACATTTCCGCTACTTTGAGCTCAGTTTCAAGGTCGTTTTCATCGTAAAAGTAATGAAAATCATCTCTATTTCTGTAATATGTTTTCCATTTTATCAAATAAGACCATGAAAACGCGAAAACAACGAAAAATACTATACGAAAATACACCTCAGAGTCGGCGTTTTATTCCAAAAAAACGATCAGAGTTTTTTTTTTCTCATTACGCAATGTGTGCTGCAGGATTTTTTTTATGTGGTGCACACTGACCACACAGACCCATTCTCTCACATGTGGGCCTATCAGCTTTCTCCCACTTGATTTGAAGCCGCTAGAATTATTGAGTATATATACGTCAGAAACATTGGCTCGTAAGACGTATTTATACGTCGAAAACAGTCAAAGGGTTAATATATCATCACTAAATATATTTATCTTGAATGATCAGTTATTACATGGGAGATTTGTATAATTTCTTGAACTCAGAATAACTGTACATTTATAATTGCCTCTATATTCACTTTTATCTGCTTTCAATGAAGAGGGTGCATAAACATTTTGGTCTCTTGGGTGATCATTACAATGATCAGCTAGAAACCAAAATATTGATGCATTCCTCTTTGGCAAGGCACAAAACAGAAGAATATAGTTTATGTAGATGCAGTGGATATGGGGGACTGACTGAATAATATTAGTTAAGAGCAGGTTCAAGTAATTCATGAATTTGCATGTTAACTGAAACACTGCACCATTTCTCAACATTGTAATAATTTTCCTGCTTTATGGTATATGTTTCCTAACCACAATAAAACACTGTCCATTTGAGCAAACCTTTTCATTTCACTCTTTAATCTATTCCTTAATATGTCATTCATCTTCATGCAGCTTTTCTATATAAATTCCTCAGAACTTTGGTCACTACAAACTGACAATGCCCTATAGATAAATTCTACAAAATTTCCTAACTCTGCATTAAACTGAATATTTCAACATAATCTTTTGTACTGCTTAAGTGACATGCTACAGATTATAGAAACTATCAAATACAGTGGACACACAACTTTACGATCAGCTCCCAACATGAACAATTATGTAAGTGTATTTTTGTAAATGCTTTTGTACGTGTATTTTTAGGGGTCTGAAACGGACTAATCTAATTTACAATATTCCTTATGGGAATAAATTCGTTCGGTAATGGCACCTGAACAGATGTCTGGAATGAATTAATATCGTAAATCGGGGATCCACTGTACGTATATGGAAGGTCAGATATTTAGTAATGTGTTTTAATACTGTATTAACCAACTAATGCAAAACATATGCTTTTAAGTTCTACATTAAATAAATATTGAACTGTGAATGCTCTTTTTCTAAATTCTGACAACCCTGAAATTATAGGGAGACAGTACCTTTAGCATCTGAGAGAGATGCCTGGGGACGTGTGTTTCTTCAATGGCTGGCGGCTGCCCGTCATAATGCTGGCACCTCTGACATACAAATGACAGCTGTGTCCAATGGTAACGCAGATCCTCCACTCGTGGACATGGTGGAGCTATCTGTGGGAAGCACCTCACTGTTCTCATGTTCCATTTTTATCATCTACAAATTATGTCAACACTAAAATTCAATGCAAGAAAATACTGTAACGTAAGTGTGCTTAACACTTAGAACAGATATACAATATTAATAAGTAGTTTCTTAAATTTAAAATTTTTAACATTTAAATGTTGTTCTGTATTAAAAGAGCATTGTAAGCATTCAGTTAAACAAAAATAAAGAAAACAATAAAAAGAGAACAAAGAAAGCAAGAGATGGGCAGGATAAAGAATAATAAAGTAAAGGATAAAAAGACAGAGGAAGTAGAGAGAACTAGTATGTGGTACGGTATTAGGGATCGGACAATACCAAAACTGTTGCTAATACCAACACTTGATTTTAGAACGATACCAATACCATCAAAATTAGCTGATACCAACCAGTACTGTCATCAGTACTGATACAGGCCGGCCATCACTAATCCGGCATCATTGGGACCTGTAGTGTGCCGGATTAGTGAGTTTGCCAGATTACAGAGTGGTTAGGTCAGAATACGCTTAATTAACCTATCAATAGAGAGACTTCTACAGCTTCCTCATTTTCATCACTGCTTTCTCCTCCACTGGCTTGTTTACCTGGAGAGAGTTCCGGGGGTCAACGCCCCCGTGGCCCGATCTGTGACCAGGCCTCCTGGTGGATCAGAGCCTGATCAACCAGGCTGTTACTGCTGGCTGCACGCAAACCAACGTACGAGCCACAGCCCGGCTGGTCAGGAACCGACTTTAGGTGCTTGTCCAGTGCCAGCTTGAAGACTGCCAGGGGTCTGTTGGTAATCCCCCTTATGTATGCTGGGAGGCAGTTGAACAGTCTCGGGCCTCTGATACTTATTGTATGGTTTCTTAACGTGCTAGTGACACCCTTGGTTTTCATTGGGGGGATGTTGCATCGTCTGCCAAGTCTTTTGCTTTCGTAGTGAGCGATTTTCGTGTGCAAGTTCGGTACTAGTCCCTCTAGGATTTTCCAAGTGTATATAATCATGTCTCTCTCCCGCCTGCGTTCCAGGGAATACAGGTTCAGGAACCTCAAGCGCTCCCAGTAATTGAGGTGTTTTATCTCCGTTATGCGTGCCGTGAAGGTTCTCTGTACATTTTCTAGGTCAGCAATTTCACCTGCCTTGAAAGGTGCTGTTAGTGTGCAGCAATATTCCAGCCTAGATAAAACAAGTGACCTGAAGAGTGTCATCATGGGCTTGGCATCCCTAGTTTTGAAGGTTCTCATTATCCATCAAGTCATTTTCTAGCAGATGCGATTGATACAATGTTATGGTCCTTGAAGGTGAGATCCTCCGACATGATCACTCCCAGGTCTTTGACGTTGGTGTTTCGCTCTATTTTGTGGCCAGAATTTGTTTTGTACTCTGATGAAGATTTAATTTCCTCGTGTTTACCATATCTGAGTAATTGAAATTTCTCATCGTTGAACTTCATGTTGTTTTCTGCAGCCCACTGAAAGATTTGGTTGATGTCCGTCTGGAGCCTTGCAGTGTCTGCAATGGAAGACACTGTCATGCAGATTCGGGTGTCATCTGCAAAGGAAGACACGGTGCTGTGGCTGACATCCTTGTCTATGTCAGATATGAGGATGAGGAACAAGATGGGAGCGAGTACTGTGCCTTGTGGAACAGAGCTTTTCACTGTAGCTGCCTCGGACTTTACTCTGTTGACTACTACTCTCTGTGTTCTGTTAGTGAGGAAATTATAGATCCATCGACCGACTTTTCCTGTTGTTCCTTTAGCACGCATTTTGTGCGCTATTACGCCATGGTCACACTTGTCGAAGGCTTTTGCAAAGTCTGTATATATTACATCTGCATTCTTTTTGTCTTCTAGTGCATCTAGGACCTTGTCGTAGTGATCCAATAGTTGAGACAGACAGGAGCGACCTGTTCTGAACCCACGTTGCCGTGGGTTCTGTAATTTATGGGTTTCTAGATGGGTGGTGATCTTGCTTCTTAGGACCCTTTCAAAGATTTTTATGATATGGGATGTTAGTGCTATCAGTCTGTAGTTCTTTGCTATTGCTTTACTGCCCCCTTTGTGGAGTGGGGCTATGTCTTTTGTTTTTAGTACCTGTGGGACAACCCCCATGTCCATGCTCCCTCTCCATAGGATGGTAAAAGCTCGTGATAGGGGCTTCTTGCAGTTCTTGATGAACATGGAGTTCCATGAGTCTGGCCCTGGGGCAGAGTGCATGGGCATGTCATTTATCGCCTGTTCGAAGTCATTTGGCGTCAGGATAACATCAGATAGGCTTGTGTTTACCAAATTCTGTGGCTCTCTCATAAAAAATTCATTTTGATCTTCGACTCTGTCTGGTTAGCGGCTTGCTAAAAGCTGAGTCATATTGGGACTTGAGTAGCTCACTCATTTCCTTGCTGTCATCTGTGTAGGACCCATCTTGTTTAAGTAGGGGCCCAATACTGGACGTTGTTCTCAACTTTGATTTGGCATAGGAGAAGAAATACTTTGGGTTTCTTTCGATTTCATTTATGGCTTTTAGTTTTCCCGCGATTCCTGACTCCTATAAGATTCCTTTAGCTTAAGTTCGATGCTTGCTATTTCTCTGACAAGTGTCTCCCTATGCATTTCAGATATATTGACCTCTTTATTCTTTTCCGTCGCCTGTAAAGGGAGCGTCTGTTTCTTTCTATTTCACATCTACTCCTCCTTTTTCTTAGAGGAATAAGCCTTGTGCATACATCGAGTGCCACCAAGTTAATCTGTTCTAGGCGTAAGTTGGAGTCTGTGTTGCTTAGTATATCTTCCCAGCTTATAACGGTTAGGACTTGGTTTACTTGGTCCCACTTTATGTTCTTGTTATTGAAGTTGAATTTGGTGAATGCTCCCTCATGACTAATCTCATTATGTCGGTCTGGGGCTCCGCGCATACATGTCTGAACCTCAATTATGTTGTGATCTGAGTATATTGTTTTTGATATGGTGACATTTCTTATCAGATCATCATTGTTAGTGAAGATGAGGTCTAGTGTATTCTCCAGTCTAGTAGGCTCTATTATTTGCTGGGTTAAATTGAATTTTGTGCAGAGATTTAAAAGCTCGTGTGAGTGTGAGTTTTCATCAGAGCTGCCTCCTGGTGTTATTACTGCAACAATATTATTTGCTATATTCCTCCATTTTAGGTGCCTTAAGTTGAAATCCCCCAGGAGCAAGATGTTGGGTGCAGGAGCTGGCAGATTTTCCAGACAGTGGTAAATTTTTAACAGCTGTTCCTGGAATTGCTGGGATGTTGCATCCGGAGGCTTGTAGACTACCACAATGACTAGGTTTTGGTTCTCGATCTTTACTGCTAAAACTTCCACTACATCATTTGAGGCATTAAGCAGTTCTGTGGATTTACAACCATCTGCACAGTTCCAGAGTCAGAATAATGATGAAATTTGAGTCAATGTAATGATTTGAGTCAGTATAATGATGAAATTTGAAATTATGCTAGTAGAAATTAGTGCCGGATTACTGACGCAACCGGATAACTAATTGCCAGATTAGTGATGGCCGACCTGTACCATGAAAATTAGTCAATACCCACTGAAATAACAGAAATAGCAGTATTAATGTAGTAAACCGGCTGCAGATTAAAAAGCACAAACAGAATTTACATCAAAAATCATTCTTTCAGAGAGGATAGCAAATAGTGTAAGCATTTTAAGATGCTGATGGAGAATTTGAAAGGAACAGAAAAGAGAATGGAGAGAATGACAAGATATAATGGTAATACATAGCAACAGATAAGAAATGAGGAGTAAAATCCAAGCAAGACAAAGATGGAAGGCCCAGGCACTAAGTCTAACAGAAAAAATCTATCAGGATGAGAACAACATTAAGTACATATAGGTAAATGAAAAAATTAAGTCACTAATGCTGTACAGGCACTCTTTGACTTAAGGTGGGATCATGTTCCAACAAACCCATCATAAGTCGAATATGAATGCAATTTTTTATTATTATTATTTTTTTTATTATCACACTGGCTGATTCCCACCAAGGCAGGGTGGCCCGAAAAAGAAAAACTTTCACCATCATTCACTCCATCACTGTCTTGCCAGAAGGGTGCTTTACACTACAGTTTTTAAACTGCAACATTAACACCCTTCCTTCAGAGTGCAGGCACTGCACTTCCCATCTCCAGGACTCAAGTCCGGCCTGCCGGTTTCCCTGAACCCCTTCATAAATGTTACTTTGCTCACACTCCAACAGCACGTCAAGTATTAAAAACCATTTGTCTCCATTCACTCCTATCAAACACGCTCACGCATGCCTGCTGGAAGTCCAAGCCCCTCGCACACAAAACCTCCTTTACCCCTCTCTCCAACCTTTCCTAGGCTGACCCCTACCCCGCCTTCCTTCCACTACAGACTGATACACTCTTGAAGTCATTCTGTTTCGCTCCATTCTCTCTACATGTCCGAACCACCTCAACAACCCTTCCTCAGGCCTCTGGACAACAGTTTTGGTAATCCCGCACCTCCTCCTAACTTCCAAACTACGAATTCTCTGCATTATATTCACACCACACATTGCCCTCAGACATGACATCTCCACTGCCTCCAGCCTTCTCCTCGCTGCAACATTCATCACCCATGCTTCACACCCATATAAGAGTGTTGGTAAAACTATACTCTCATGCATTCCCCTCTTTGCCTCCAAGGACAAAGTTCTTTGTCTCCACAGACTCCTAAGTGCACCACTCACTCTTTTCCCCTCATCAATTCTATGATTCACCTCATCTTTTATAGACCCATCCGCTGACACGTCCACTCCCAAATATCTGAATACATTCACCTCCTCCATACTCTCTCCCTCCAATCTGATATTCAATCTTTCATCACCTAATCTTTTTGTTATCCTCATAACCTTACTCTTTCCTGTATTCACCTTTAATTTTCTTCTTTTGCACACCCTACCAAATTCATCCACCAATCTCTGCAACTTCTCTTCAGAATCTCCCAAGAGCACAGTGTCATCAGCAAAAGAGCAATATGCAATATGCTAAATAAATAAAAATACTGACACTGAATAAGTAAAAAACAAATACTGTAATTACTGTAACTAGTATTCAAAAGTAAATAAATGAATATAAGCTATGAACTTGCCACCTACTGTCATAAAATCAACATATCGTAAGTCAAACCATCGTTAGTGGACAGGCACATGTATCTGTAATAACTTCAGACTTGTACTAACTTACCACATCTGCGGCAGCCTGCAGAGCATCTGATATACGTGAAAACATGACTGGGTCGTGCTTCCTCCCTCGATTAGCACGACACAAGGTGTCACTCAAGACAAAGCCAAATATTTCAGTGCAGGACATGAAGCTGAAGCTCAGAAGCCATGTTGCATCTATACAATCTGCAAATTTTATGCAAGATAAAATTTTGGAATGTTTTAACATAATTACCTACATGTCAACCTTATCAAATCCTACAGAACACACACTGTATGATCCAAATGGGTTTAATGCTTGTTCCTGAATGACAATAATATAACAAAAACAAAAATAATAATAATGATAATAACAATAATACTAATACTAAAACACACACATGAGCTCTAAACAAAAGAGGCAAATTTTATTTTCAGAATGTAATTGTTACAAAATCGGAATGAAGTATGATAGATATAAATCATGTATATATGCCAACAATCAATTTAGGTAAATTAAGGCTCACTTAAGTTACTATGAGTGAAAGTCTCAGTAAAATACTTAAAGCTGCATATGTATTTATTTACTTACATTATACAGTGGACCCCCGGTTTACGATATTATTTCATTCCAGAAGTATGTTCAGGTGCCAGTACTGACCGAATTTGTTCCCATAAGGAATATTGTGAATTAGATTAGTCCATTTCAGACCCCCAAACATACACATACAAATGCACTTACATAAATACACTTACATAATTGGTCGCATTGGGAGCTGATCGTAAACCGGGGGTCCACTGTAATTAGGTAACATTTATTTCATAAATTTTTAAAAGTCCCCTGGTTAAGCAGAGAATTTTGGCCAGACTAAAACTAGAAGTTAAAAGTACTTAACATTATATAATTGTACAGATAAAGTGACATTACTTCAGTGTTAAGTACAATTAAGCTATGCATGAACAAGATTAAATAAAATGATTAAGAAAAGATTAAGATTGTTTATTTCGACATAATAC